CAAATGGAACACCCTGTATTTTAATTCGAAAATTCATTCCGACATCTTTCGCCTTTTTATCGCTGGAAAAAAATTGAAATCGGTTGCGGCGTTGTCAAGTTCTTTCATTTATTTGTATTGTGGAAATATTGCGTTGCTACGGTATAATCAAATTTGTTCATTGACCATTCATATATTTTTTCACGATAGAAACATTAACAGGCTCTCCAAGTTTGAATTTTTTTCGAAATACATTTATATTTGTGTAATGACCTGTCAAACATCGCCACGATCAAATATATCTTGGATTGATTCGAAATTTTGCTGAATTCTCTCCCAAAAGCCGCGTATAGTAGAGACATATTGTTTGTACGACAATAAAAATGGCCCAAATTTCAAAAAAATTTTCTAATTTTCGCAATCCGCATCTTCATTGTTTGTATTGTAGAAGTTGTTGCTTTTGGTATGTTTGTTTGTTTCACATATTATTTAAATCATGAGCAACAAGATTACGGAATATTTCAAATTTGGACGATGCACATATCGCAAAAATACCTGGAAGATCTATGTAGAACCTCGAATGTCATGTGGCAAACAATATTCCCACACTCAAATCAAATAAAGGAACCATCATGACGTACAAATTACCCGAAATAGTAGTAAACATAAGGAAATTACTCATAACTTGAAAACGCCGCAACCGATTTTGATTTTTTCTTCAGCGATGAAAAGGCGAATGATGTCGAAATGAATCTGTGATGAAAAATACAGGGTTTTCCATTTGAAAAATTCTTATGATCGTCTTCTGAATCTTACAATATTCAGAATGTGAATTTTAGCACCCTGTAAAGGATTATCTCGCAAGATTACTGGATTGGTATACGTGAGACCTTGCTACTACTGTATGCCAAAAATATTTTCGAAATTTCAATAAATAAATATACCATACCCAATTGAAAATTACCCTTCGATAGTAGTAAAAATGGGTTTATCAATTATAACTTGGCAACGCCGCAACCAAATTCGATTTTTTTTACAGCGATGTAGAGCTGAACCTTAGGGGAGTAAATTTCGAATTAACAATAATGGGTGTTCCATTTAGAAAAACCCGTCTTCGAGTTGCCCCGCTTTTATAAAACACCCAGTATTGTTGAAAATATTTTTGAAATGAGCAGCTTCAGTAACTGAAGAAGTTTTTTCTTAAAAGTTTTTCTCTTGTGATAATTAATTTCGAGATATCGAAGAATTTCGCACTAAATGGACACACTGTATAAGTTTGTGTCGTATCTTCAAAACCATACCCCAAATAAAGATTTTGAGTATGCCACTGGATTCTGTTCAGAATTATCTGTTAGACTAGTTATTAGCGCAACATTATCTACACTGATCTACATATACTAATATTATAAAGATGATAGATTTGTTTGTTTGTTTGTATTCAATTGGCTGCGAAACTACCGGACCAATTAGAAAAATTCTTTCATCATGAGAAGCCGATATTATTCCTGATGAACATAGGCTATTTTTCACTGCAGGAGAATGCTCCATTCTTACAAGGAACCGGGTAATATGACAACGGCTAGTAGGAATTATACTTTCATACTTATATTTTTCACATAACTTATAAACGGCTGAACCGATAGGGCTGAAATTTTATATGGATATTTTGATGGTTTCCTGGATAATTTGAGAATACAATAGGACGCGGTAGGTGGCGGTACTGTCGTTACGTCAACTACTAAACAATTCAGTTGAAATTCTCAATACCTAAAACAACAACAAAAAAATACAGAAGATGCTGGGAGAATGAAAATAGGTGTACGTATACATGTAATAGGGAATATTCGTGGGAAGCAGTCGAATGTGACCAATATTAGTTAGATTTCTTCGTTTTTTGTCGAGCTTTCAATAATGTTTATTTTCTCTATCAAGACTTTCTAGAACATCGAATGAACAATAATGTTAATATATGAATGTACATCAATAAAATAGGTATACCTACTTACTAACATGAAATACTATATAAAATCAGCACAAGAATAAAACATATGTGTATAAATTAAAGGAAATGATGTGACAAAAAATGTCATAGATGATAGTTGACTAATTCGAATAAAGTTGAATATACAGAGTGAGATAAATACTTATTTAGATGTTCTTCATAATACAGAATTTTAGTATTATCATAATTCATTCTATGATCTTCATTTATGACGTGTTCAGCAGGCTACATAATTTTAAATTTCTTCTCTAATCACTTTTGTATGAAGTGATTCTGTCCTTGAACATTCTGCAAGTTTGACCAACATATACTAAATCACAATCATTGCAAGGAATTTCATAAATGATATTCGATCTATTTTTGACTGGTACGACATTATTGTTCATTCGATGTTCTAGAGAGTCTTGATGAAAAAAATAAACATTTTCGAAAGCTTGACAAAAAAGGAAGAAATCTAACTAATATTGGTCACATTCGACTGCTTCCCACGAATTTTCCCATTAATATAATCTATAGAACAGTCACGAAAACTTCTCCTCATCAAATCTATAGGTGAGCTCGAGAGAATTTAAAAAATAACGAACAAATATGTACTGGAGATACGCGCATAGCCCAGAACGACTGCAACAAATGTCTTTTTTCTGTGACGGGAAAAAAGTTTGGCATTTCATCTCTGTTGGCAGGTTATAAAATGTCACTTTTCATAAATTACTTTTTTCCCGTGGGAAAAAAGTGAGTACTTTTTTCCCGGATATATATCACATATATAATATACTCTGTTAATGGCTTTTGTTGTGCTATAGTTCCGAAAAATGAGTCAATAATACCGTCTCCGAGAAAGAACTGCAAGTCCTTTTATCTTCCATTCGACTTCGCGGTTTCGTATATTACTAAACCACTACTGAATTCGCAATTTTTTAAAATCAAATCATAGAATTGAACTGACAGAAAGTGACATCAGATATTTGATTACTTCAAAAGAATGATAAAGATGGCTATAAAACGCAGGTGTCCCTACTGTTAAAAACTTGAAATTTCACGTCGATAATTTTCAGATTTCGAAATAATGTAATATCTTCTCTATATTGATTCGTCCTGCCTTCTGTCACAGAAAAAAATAGTGTATTATACACGGGAAAAATATTAGATTTTAGCTCACGGTTTTTTGTCTCCCTCCGCTACGCGTCGGGAGACAACACAACCTGGAGCTAAAATCTACTACTTTTTTCCCTTGTATAATAAATAACTATTTTTTCTGTGACGGGAAAAAAGTTTGGCATTTCATCTCAATTGGCAGGTTATAAAATTTCACGTTTCATGAATTACTTTTTCCCCGTGGGAAAAAAGTGAGTACTCTTTTCCCGGATATATATCACATATATACCGGGTGACACAGGGTATCGGGCCACCCCTGTAACTTCTGCATTCGTCAACGGATTTTTCTGAAATTCGGTACAGTTATATAAGCAATTATTTCGGATTTGATCACATTACAATCCAATATGGCGGACTTCCGGTATTTCTGGAAATGCCAGCAACTTTATTTTTTCAAATGAAACACCCTGTATATTTTTACATATTCAAGTTCAACAGGTCGAAACAAGTGCAATCTTTATTTCAAATGTCAATTTTTCGAAAAAATTTAAATTAAAATTGTTTTTTCATTTTATCTCGTGGATAAATGAGATGTGGTCAAGACTATTCACAATGAGTCACACATAATAGAAGAACATATTTTTTTCTGAAAAATGTTTTTTTGTGTCACTTATCCAGGAATCAATTCAGCCACATCACTTTTTGATCAAAAATTATTTTTTTTTCAAATGGAACCCCTATGGGCCACCTACCCGTCTCTCTAGAACATACATTAAGGAACAAAATAACATATCATTTTTGTTTTTCGGTGCAGTAACAAATTGTATACATTCAAAAATCAACGACTAGTTTATGAATTTCCTTGCAGTTAGAATAATTTTTCAACTAGGTAGGCTGTGAAATAAATGACATTTGACATCAAGATTGCACTTGTTTTGACCTGTTGAACTTGAATATGTGAAAATATACAGGGTGCTCCATTTGAAAAAACAAAATTGCTGGCATTTCCAGAAAAACCGGAAGTCCGCCATATTGGATTTCAATGTGATCAAATCCGAAATAGTTTCTTATATAACTGTACCGAATTTCAGAAAAATCCGTTGACGAATGCAGAAGTTACAGGGGTGGCCCGATAACCTGTGTCACCCGGTATATACACTGTTGATGGCTTTTGTAAAATGAGTCAATAATACCGTCTCCGAGAAAGAACTGAAAGTCCTTTTTTTTTCATTCCACTTCGCGGTTACGTATATCACTAAACAATCACTAAATTCGCAGTTTTTCGAAATCAAATCACAGAGTTAGACTGACAGAAGTGACATCAGATTGTCCCTACTGTTGAAAACTTTTCAAAATAATGTAATATCTTCCCAATATTGATTCGTCCTTTCTTCTGTCACAAAAATTTTTTTTGTATTATACACGGGAAGAATATTAGATTTTAGCTCACGGTTTTTTTGATACAGGGTTATCAGAATTCTGATTCTCGAATCACACTGTATATATTGCAGTTAAATGTCAGTAGATAGTAAATCAAAAGCTGAGATAGGGACATTGAAGCCGTTTGACCAATAATGAATAGTTTCGACACAAAAAAATCCTTCAGTTGGATAATCTCGATTTTGAACACCCTATGTCTCTGTAATCATTCCCGCTAGACCCCAAGTGTGATATATTGATGAAATCAGCTCTTCAGGGAAAAAAAAATCAAGTAGTGCAACGGGAAAAAAAATTCTGAAAAATAATTTTAGATGATTTTTCAAATTTTTGAATCGGTTCAAACATAAAGTGAGCTTCGAGAGGGGAAGGACATTTATGGTGAATCACCCTGTACAGACTACCACTCACCAGATGCCAAAAGGTAGAACCTCGTCGCGGGCAGAGCGGTCGCTTCGGCAAGATTTTCGCGCGCGTGCGCTCAGGTTCATCCCAGTCCCGCCCACGCCTCGAAGTCGGGCAGCTCTCGGACGGGCAGGTCGTGCGCGTGCGCCTTCACGCGCAGGTTCCTGTCGTCGGTGAGCAGCACCACCTCGCGGACCAGCCGGCGCGGCTCGCCCTCCGGTACCGCCACCTGTTGGACAAAAATCATAACATAAAATGATGAAGATGGAAAGCCCTAATTTCGAGGGACAATGGAACATGAAAAAAACTCCACCGTCCCGTGTGAGAGTCGAACTCACAACCTCTGGGTTACATAAAACCTTTTCAAAAATATCTGGAACACGTCAACTACATTTTCGAGAAGGACATCGTTCTAATATATTTTCAGCCCTGCGGCGTTGCCGCTTCTAACGACAAGAAGCAACAACTTTGTTATTTCAAATGGAACACCTTGTATTTCATTGCATTTTTAGATTCTCCCCGAAGAGCTGATTTCATCAATGCATCACACTTGGGGTCTAGCTGTAATGGTTTCAAGTGTTCAAAATCGAGATTTTTCAACTTTAGCATTTTTTTGTGTCGATACTATTCATTATTGGTCAAAACGCCTTCCTGTCCCTATCTCAACTTGTGATTTACTATCTACTAACATTTAATTGGAACAGACACAGGGTGATCAGAATTCTGTATCTTGAACCACCCTGTATTTGTTTCAAATAAATGTCAGTAGATCACAAGTCTTGATAGGGACACGAAAGTCGTTTTGACCAATAATGAATAGTTTTAACACAAAAAAATGCTAAATTTGAAAAATCTCGATTTTGAACACTTTATATTCCTGAAACCATTACAGCTAGACCCCAAGTATGATGCATTGATGAAATCAGCTCTTCGGGGAGAATCTAGAAATGCAATAAAATACAAGGTGTTCCATTTGAAATGACAAAGTTGTTGCTTCTTTTCGTTAGAAGCGGCAACGCCGCAGGGCTGAAAATATTTTAGAACGATGTCCCCCTCGATAATGTAGTTGACGTGTTTCAGATATTTTTGAAAAGGCTTTTAGTTTAGGAAATATCGAATTTGTTCCATACTTTACGGACACAGTGTATGTATCTTTTCGGTTGAGTAATCGACAAAAATTATGACTTGACTCTTATGTATGATTGCCTTCGGACATTTCCGTATACAAGGAAAGACAATGCCAAAGGACGAACGGGAAATATGGAGACTGTCTAGTACCATCCTGCCAGTGCATGATTTCGAGTGATTTCGGGAATTGGAAGGATTGTGTCGCCTTGTGTGTGATGAGATCTCAACCTCCCTGCCGATTGATCAACGGATGGCGAGCATCTCTTTGCACCCACATCTCGTTGGGGCCACATTTCGTTGCAGTCACATCTCGTTGCAGCCACATCTCGTAGGAGCCACATTTCGTTAGGCCCACAGTCTCCGAACGTACCCGAACGATGCACTGTTGCCACATATAATTCAAAAATCTTGATTATACTGAAAAGGTTATTGTGGCCCTAACGAGACACTCTCATCTTGATCAATCCACGTTTCTTTCAAGCTACATTTCGTTGCACCCACATCTCGTTGAACCCATTTCTCCTTGGAGCCACATTTCGTGGAAGCTACATCTCGTTGCAGCCATATCTCGTTGGGCCCACACTTTCAATGGGCAAGGTGACTACCATATACCTACTTAACATATACGGATAACAAGGATCTCCAAGTGAAGCCAAAAAATAAAATAAATGACAGTCTGCGAGCGCAACTGTATTACAGCGCATGCGTTATCTAAAAATAAGAAAAGACGGTTCATTTAGGCCGAGTAAGGCTAGTTGGTTTAAAATAGTAGTGTCCTTTTTTATGCAGAGGGATATTTTCCTTCCTGAAAAAAGTACTGTCTTTTTAGGAAGAAGGTTCATTCAGGCTGAGTAAGGTTAGATGGTTTTAAAAAAGTAGTCTAAAATAAGGAACCTTGTGGCAACAGCGCAGCTTTCGGGTTCGTTCGGAGACTGAGGGCCCAACGAAATGTGGCTCCAAAGAGATGTGACTGCAACGAGATGTGTCTGCAACGAAATGTGGCTCCAACGAGATGTGGCTGCAACGCAGCGCACTCAACGGATGTCCCGTTAGCTCAATTGGCAGAGCGTTGGGCATATAACCCAGAGGTTGTGAGTTTGACTCTCACACGGGGCGGTGGAGTTTTTTCATTTTCGCTTGTCACTCGAAATTAGGGCTTTCCATCTTCATCATTATATGTATCTTTTCGGCTGGGTAACCGACAAAAATTATGACTTGACTCCTATGAAAAAGCATAACAGTTGCGTCTTATTTTCTCCATTCTGTTAATGGTGGTAGAAACAGAATGACGTTTACAAATGACACGAGAAACTTAATGACCTTGCATGGGACAAATAGAATATGATAAAAGCAATTTAACCCTTTGAGTTCGGAATTAGTGTTTTTTGAGATTTTATTTCCTGAAAATATTTTATGTGACCAAAAACATCATAAAAACAATGAGGAATATAAGACTAAATCTGAATCGTCAATTTTTTTTTTTTTTAAAAAGTGGTTACCCCAAGTGACCAGGTGGTTGCCGCAAGTGACCAGTTGGACTACGTATACTCATCAGATCCCAAAAGCTACTGACGCCATCTTTAGTAAGTTGAAACAATGCCGCAGTTATCAATTCAGTTCATATTAGTATCGTGTATAAACGGTGGTTATGCTACAGAACCACCAGTAGAGCGCCGATGAATTATTTGTTATGTGGTTATCTGGCATGAGCAGTAGGACGCAAAGGGTTAAACTGGTCAACATTGATAACGTCGTGGTCCAAAATATAGCCTGAATTCAAAGTAGAATAACTCACGAATTTCCTTACCAATTTGAAATCGGGTTTCACCGATGATTAGCCTAATCTCTTGACAGTTTGTTGTGATAATATGAGACTTCTGTAATTTCAGATAACATTGCTACAGGGTGATAATTGAATGGGTGTAAAATTCCATCGTGGTCGTCACCTTACCGTTTGAACAGATAATTTTTTAATTTTTTTTTCTCACCAGTATCCTCTTGATTATTGCTTCTTCTCGAAATGTTATCGGAATATTCAAATTCAGAGCTTTGATAATCCTGTTATGAATATTTATTCAAAATGATGCATTTTTTCGACGATTAATTGAATGAAACTGGAAGTTGGAATTCTTTTTCGAAGAATCAACGTTGTACGTATAGTCGTCTGATATGTGATTGTGTTCGAACACAGAAAATTCTGAAGAAGTCTATACAAAGTAGTAATGAAAGTACGCATTTTTTATCAAAATGGACACGGTGTATATCCTCACCTGTTGCTCCTTGTGCCCTTTGCACAGCACCAGACACGTGCTCAGTATCTTGTCGTCGTTGCATCTCGCCCCGCCGTCCCCGTCCGCCGCCCCGCCGTCGTCGTCCTCTTCGGTGCAGAAGGCCGTCGACGCCAAAACGGCGCCCTTCGTCGTCACGCACTTGACGGCCGAGTGGCGTTGGCGCAGCAAGTCGAGCGCCGATTTGGCGCACATGGCGACGCGTTTGACGTGTTGCGGGTCCAGAGGGCGGTGGCGGCGCGATTCTGGGAGGGGGGAGCGACCGCCGCGCGACAGGCCTTCCAACTCGCTCAGGACTGCAACACAAAAACGGTGGTTGGTATTATGGTTATTATAATATTTATTTCTCAATTGATAATTTAATTATTTTAGGTTTCTTATACCTAGTAATAGTACAGGTTCCCAAGTGAGGTCGACCTTCACTCATCTACTTGCCGGATGAAAATTATACAGGGTGTGTGTAAAAGGTTGGGACATGGCTCGGCTGTGGACTCCTGGGATGAAAACAAGTTAATTTAGGCCAACTTCTATATACAAAATCGCATCGTTGAGTTGGTACAAGGCGATGCATTTTTTTTTTTTGGAAAAAAATAATTCTGCTCATAAAAAGAGTGGGCTGAGATCGATTTCCATAATTTTTGGCATGACATGTTCTGTAATTGTAAGTCACGTTTTGAGATGTTTTTAATCACCATCAGTGACCTGCAAGTGTTTCAAACAACCATGTTGCCGTACAAATTTTGTGATAACTTTTCAGAGGTCGGACTGGAAACTTCCAGTTTTTTTCCAGAAAGATATTCCCTTCAGAAATATTTTTTGATTCGTGTTAAATCTTGATAAGACTCGAGGTTTATTTGCAAATGAATAATTTCTGATGTGATGCATTCTGTGCATTTTTGAAAATTAATCTAATTAGTTGGACTGTTAATTGATCATGGATACAATGTATTCTCATTGTGAAAAAACTGATATGTTGCTGGTCCTCGCGGGCTTTACAAGAACTCTCGCGTTACAAATTTAGCGAAAACTATTCAGTACCTAAGGTGATCACTTTAACGCCTTGTACCAACTCAACGAAACGATTTTGGATATAGGTAAGTTGGCTAAAATCAACTTATTTTCATCCCAGGAGTCTACAGTCAAGCCATGTCCCAACCAGATTATTTTTCTAAAAAATGCATGAGATGCCTCAGATCAGAAATTATTTATTTGCAAATGAACCTCGAGACTTATCAAAAATCAACACGATACAAAAAATATTTCTGAAGGGAATATCTTTCTGGGAAAATAAACTGAAAGTTTCCAGTCCGACCTCTGAAAAGTTATCGCCAAATTTGTACGGCAACATGGTTGTTTGAAACACTTGCAGGTCACTGATGATGATCAAAACCATCTCAAAGCGTGACTTACAGTCACAGAACACGCCATGTCAAAAATTATGAGAATCGATCTCAGCCTACTCTTTTTATGAGCAAAATTATGTTTTTCCAAAAAAACTTCAACGCCTTGTACCAGCTTAACGAGATGATTTTGGATACAGGTAAGTTGGCCTAAATCAACTTGTTTTTATCCCACGAGTCCACAGTCGAGCCATGTCCGAACCTTTTACAGACATCCCGTATTTTATCGAATAAACTATGTTTCTGAACATGTACAGGGTGGCCAACTAAGACTCCAGAGTTCGATTTCTCTGTTGTTTTGAGAGATAAAAAAAAGTCATGTATCGAAATTGAAGTATTAACCGAGCTGCACATTTCAAAATCATTTTGAAATATACAGGGTGTTCCATGAGGTGACATTATATTAAATTTATGTTTGTTTCATGTGAACAACCCATATTTTATTTCATTTTGGAATTCTTCCTGAAGATCTGATTTCAGCGACCCATCATACTTAGGGTCTAGTAGTGAAAGTTACTGACATATAGGGTGTGCAAAATCGAGATTTTCCAAGTTCAGGATTTTTATCTGTCGAAACTGTTCTTTATTCGTCAAAACGGTTTACATTACCCTATCTCAACTTTTCAGTCACTATCAATTTGGAGACCTGCAGAACATCTCTTTCCAAAGACTCGTTCATCCAACGATCAGCGAGGCTCTGGAACACATTGCCAAGGGAGGTGTTTCCCGAGGCATATAACCTCCAGAAATTCAAGAAGAACACCAATTCCTACCTTCTTTCCCTTGGTTCTCACGATGTTCTCTGAACATTACAGGATATCCCTCTTCTTGGAAACCAGAACATAAAAAAAAAGAATTGGCGGTCTAGGTTATAGTCTATAAGTCGGTGAGATACGCCAATGGTCGTCGGCGAATTCCCAGGAACTGCCGGGCTGCTGCTGCTGCTGGCTGTGATGCAGAATCTGTGTGCAACTTTATACGAGGTACGAAGTCAATGATCGCGTCCCGGTAGCCACTAGCACGCACGCACGCCCATAATTTATTTGCATGTGTTTCACTTCATTCCACTACATACAAGTTATTCAATTACATGAAAACTGATTAATATCTATTGTTTCGAATTACCGACGATAATTATGTAGGTATGTACCTTATACATATAACATATACCACCGGTTGCTGCGTACGGCATACCTACCTGCTACAACTCTGCCTGCTGTATAGGGTAACGTAACTCTCTCCCAACATAGTGTATTCTGAGTATGGGCTTCAGTTACGTAATGAGATTTACAGGGTGTCCGGAAAGTTCATGTCGTAAATGATAGGGTTGATAGAGTGATTAGAAATAATCGCAGTATATTCCAACAAATAGATATAAGAAACATGAAAAAAAAAAACATCATAAATAACGAGGTGATTTTTATGTCAGCCGGGTCACTTTCACGTTGAGCCAATACGTGCTCATTCCTCTATCATTGTGCAGCCAAGATAGGGAGATTATTTTAAACCTTATGACATTTCTTACATTCTAAGTTTATCTCATTAGGAGTGAGAAGGACAGAATATCGAATTTTACTTTCACAAAAGAATATACTAGGTAATAATAATTCAAATTCTCAACTAATTCATAAACTTTTTTCTTTGAATTTCAAAACAAATACATCTTTTATCAATCAAGTTTGACAATTCTGATTTTTGTACCGGTAGCAAAAAATACCGTTTGTCTGCAACCGAATCAAAAGTCGTCCACTTTAATTCCAAAATTAGTTGTTGAAGTTGACGTTTCTATTACTGACACAAAAATAGGTACCTATATGTTGCTAAACCACACTTTTAGTTCCTAGGAGCTGAACTTCAACTTCTAGGACCTGAAAAGGATGTTCTCTCTGTTGTAACGAAGTGAAGTAGTCTGAGGTCCTGTTTCTATCTACTTACTCATATTATTATAATGTGAACTGTCAAGTGAGTCACATTGGGTGGTTTCTTTGATTTATTTTAGTTAGATATCAATTCACTGATGTTGAGCAATGTTAATCAATATTGTAAAAGTCATTGATCGAGTCATTGATACTTGCAGTGCTTCTGACTTTGATGAAAGTATAAACGCTCGGGTTCGGCTGTTTACCTCTAATCAATGATTCACAAACATTCCAGTTAAACTTTGGAATGTAATATCTCTCAAAGTACTTTTGTACTTGTATTCATACTTTGATTGCGTTTCGTCTTATATCTTCTACTACCCACATCAACACATCATTAATCGCTTCATTTTTGAAGACATCCTGTATATTTCGACACATAAGTTCTAATTGATACTGATAAGTGTTTACTATCAATCAATTACTCAGTTTTCACACCACGTGTTCCCAGTATTTTGTCACAAACAGTTGCATTTTTTGCTTCGTCCACTCATCTCTTGAATCCACGACAAAACATGTTAATGACTAATTCTTTGACGAACCTGCTCGTGAACTTTAGTGAATATTTGATATTTTGGTTCTAAACCATAAAGTTGCCCATATCTCTCCTACAGCCCAAATAGACTATTGCCACTGGCAATATTGCGAGGTAGCGGCGTTTGGCGAGGTAGCGGCGTTTGAACATTCTTGCGCGAATAAAATACTATCTAAAACAATTATACAATAAATAACTATACTATTATAGAGGAGACAAACCTCCCAATATTCTGAAGAAATGATTGTTCTTGCTATTGAAAATTTCGCAACTGAACAAATTTCCAGAAATATTTTCCTCCTTCTTCAGATTATGTCAAATACATTCTATACGTTGATGGGTGGGTTCCTTGTGAGTAAATATATTTCTACCAAGAATTTATAAAAAACTGAGAGCTTCTATCGACTTATTTTTAATCATTTCATTCAACTAAAGTCGTTCAATTATATGTTATTCAAGCTAATAATTTTAGGTGAGCAAATTCCATTGATATTGAATAGTACTTCGCATTTCTTGTGAGAAAATATATTTCTAACAATTTGAGTAAAATTAATCTATGAAAAACTGAGAAATTAAACTACTATCAACTCATTATTTTTTATTTCGTGTAACTAAAGTGAGTGAATTGAGTTTTATTCAACCTGAAAATGTTATGGATGTAAATTTTATTGATACTACATATTGCTTAGAGTTCAAAGAATATGTTTGCACCAACTTTAGTGGAATGAAGTTAGTCAAGAATCGTAGTTTGATCTTCCACCAGCTGCATTATCAATATTTTCCGTAAAAAGTCGGTATTTTGTATTTTATTTAGCGTAATCTTATCCTAGTATTTTAAATAATATATCGGTGTGAATACCACTCTAGCTTCAATTGAAAATGGGAAATTCTTTGTCGAACATGAATATTTGAAACATTCTCCTTCTTCTACGAATCGAGAAAATTTTCAAAATATACGCGTACCTGAACAAATTTCCGGTAACAATGGAAGCCCTCGTGGTTTTATAAGTGAACATTTCATAAATTTATTTTGAACCAATTAGAAGACTCCTTTTTGATTATGTTGCTTATAGCAACGGCTGACTATTGCGATAATTTTGTTCGATTCTTTTAACTTAATGGAATCAATAAGTGATAATTATTCTTTCGAAAATATATCTATTGGCAAAAGTCACTCAGTTTCATTCGAAACTATGTAGACATGTAATATCAGATGTTATAGTTGAAAATGAATTAATGTTTCTAATGTTCCTGAAATTTTAGTAATAAACCTTAGTTACTAATAAGTAAAATCAACTTTTTTTGTAAGAATATAGTGCGTCATATTTAACTAAAATCATGGGAAATATGTTTTTTAAGTTTCATTAGAAACAATGTGGACATTTAATACTACACCTTTTCCAGATTTATTTCAGAAAGCGTCAATTTAATTTCAGAATAGTGAATTCAATTTCAGAAAGCATCAATTGTATTTCAGTATAGTCAATTTAATTTCAGAAAGGGTCAATTGTATTTCAGAATAGTCAATTGAATTTCAGAAAGCGTCATTTTCCTTCCTGTAATGATGTTTTCAATTTAATCACCCCAAATTCCTTTTTTAGGTACCTTTAGGTACCCATATACTATGTGATGAACAGATTACAGAATTTCAGGTAAAAAGGGCCATCAGAGATGAACTTATTTCTGTTGCTATGATATTTTCACGATTTTTAAAATTGTTTGGCAGTAGAACACCCCGTGGAAAGTGTCTGGCAATTGTTTATTCTCTTTCATGATAGGGTCCGATTGAACATGAAAAGATCAGCTTTTGTTGGGATGATGTTTCTGCCAGTTTTCTTTTGACTTTCAACTCCCGGTATATCTTGAAAGCCCATCCGGTACTGAAGATTTTTAACCCCCAAAACGATTCCACCTAATAAGGTATAACACACACAAAAAATATCAACCTTGTTGAAATGACGTCTGGCGGTCGCTGGCTTTCAGTCTATAGAGAACGATTTCTGAAATTCAATTGACTATTCTGAAATACAAATGATACTTTCTGAAATACAATTGACATTTTCTGAAATTCAATTGACTATTCTGAAACACAATTGATGCTTTCTGAAATTGAATTGGCTATTCTCAAATAAAATTGACGCTTTTTGAAATTGATTTGAATATTCTGAAATACAATTGATGCTTTCTAAAATACAAGTGACTATTCTGAAATACATTTGATGCTTTCTGAAATTGAATTGACTATTCTGAATTACAATTGACGCTTTCTGAAATACAAGTGACTATTCTGAAATTGAACTGACGCTTTCTGAAATACATCTGAAAAAGGTGTAGATGTTATGGTAGAAAACGAATTAATATTCCTAATGGTCCTGAAATTTCAGTAAAAAACCTTGATTACAGGAAAGTAAAATCAACTTCGATTGTTCGAATATATTGCTTCATATTTATCTAAACTCATGGGAAATATGTTTTTCAAGTAATAAAAACGAATTATACCTAAGTGCCAAATTTTATTCGACACCGACGCTGAATGGGTCGTAGGGTTCATCTTGTCATCATATTAAGAGCAACTCCAATTCATGAAATTTTCTTAACGAATCTCCCACGCAGCAGAATCAATTTCCGATAATTCTGCTGCTAGAGAGATTATAAGTGAAAATTCCTGATTTCCGTTTTGAAAACGTGGAGAACTGAACTTTTCTTCATTAGATTACTATTCTATCGAATCTCACGAGAATCGAAAAATGCAATAGCCACCATCTTCCGTGTGAGGAAAAAAATCTTTGTGCACACATGCGACTATAGAGCCATATTATGATTGTGCATGCTCGACGTTTCACGTGTGAATCTCCAGAAGGTGTGAACACGAATGCCGTATTGGTCGGTGTGAGGAAAAATTTGCATTTTTAGCGAGTTTCGTGCCTCGAGGTGTGTGCGAACCTCGCGAACTGGAAAAAATTACCGGAAGCCGTTCATTACCGGGATCGAAAGAAATTGCTTCCATGACTACTTTCGTTCCTCTGGCGAAATACCGGGAAGATCGGCAACGCGAAAATACCGTGAAACTTCTCAGAGGCCTGTTATCTCGACATAATCACGAGAAAACTAGCTCAAATAATATGTCGTTTTATAAGCAGAGCCTTCTAGAGAACGAAGTTTCAGGACCTCAACATTCTGACTATTGGGTTTGCTTACCACGTGAAAGCATCTAGTAGAAATTTGAAAGACCTGCATATCTCATCATTAATAGCGATTTGTGAAACTTTTAACTTGAAGCAAGTGATAAAAGAACCTACCAGAATAGCCCCAAATTCGAGTACCCTGATTGATCTTATCTTCATTAACAATGAAGTGAACGTTATCCAAATAGGCGTGATTGATGCTGGAATCTCGGACCACCTAGTTACATTTTGCGAAATCAGCATGCCAAATGGTGGAAAACATATAACATATATAGAACTGTGATGAAAAATCCGGAATAAAAGCAAGCTCCATGGATAACCGACAACATAAAATTATTGCAAAAGTTAAGAGATAAAGCCTTGAACTAATTTAGGAAAAATAAGGTAAGTCACCGTTGGGAATATTAGAAACTTCTCAGAAATTATACTAATAGAGCCATTCGCGCGGAGAAAAAAGCTTACCTTGAACATAAATCTCAAATCTGCTCTGTGTAGGATGAATGGAATGAACTCAAAAAAATTATACTATACTAATTACTAAGAGTATGAATAATACTTATGTATTACCAGGGAACCTGGAGAATGCCAATGCTATCAATGATTACTTTGTTAATGCTTCACGAAACCTACCTAGGCCAGACATAAATATGCTCACTTATAATATCAATGTCAAAGATAATTCGGTTGAATATTTTCAATTTGATGTTGTAGACGAACTAACTATTCTTAATATTATTGATAACATTCAAACCAAAGCATTTTGACCAGATCAGATGAATATTACTCTTATAATATATTACTGCTGCCCTTTTATAGTTCCGTTCATCACCCACTTAATCAATTAATGTATAATATCTTCATACTTTCCTGATAATATTATAAGGGCTTTCGATAAACAATTAAATAAAAAAAAATCGTTCGTAATATCTGCAAAAATTTCAGATTTTTCCCTACAAGAACAAAAAGTCGTGAGCGGAAGGGTTAAAGGTTATTCTACTCTGCTATATGTTGTCTATTTTCTCTTTTTCAGCAAAATCAGATTTGCCGGTATATCTACCCTTTACATTCTTCTTATCCTTTGATGATTGTTCCTCACTTTTTGGCTTCGTTTGAGTGAGAATCGATCTCACTGTATCTTCAGTCACCAACACTTTAAATTTTTTCATGTATTCCGGAAAGGTATGGTGGTATATTTGTTGTTATTGATGGTTATTTTTATCGTGGTAAATTTAGTTTGTTTTCAATTTGGTGGATCATTCTGTCATTGCAGTTTTTTTTCAATAAAAATTGAGTTATATATTAATTTGGCTCTATCATTTTTTGAACTAGCTAACCGACCCTTTTCAAGGTTTACTGGTCAAATCAATTTCTATAGTCGTAACATTCAAATCATTCGGGTTCATGCATACATTTTTAGGATACCTTGTATATTAGTAGATAGTCATTTCAAGAACTCACCGACGGTAGGGACCATGAGGGTGTAACAGTTCGACTGGGCAATGGTAAGGATACCATCAAGATGATCGATGAAACAATTGGTATCAGGTACCAAATACTTCGGCCGTATCTCCATATGGACGCTGACCACAGACTGGCTCAGGATTTTCTGAAACAAAAAGAAAATCAGTTGTTGAATTCTCAAGATCGAACTATTTGGCATTATTTATCAAGAAAATGCATTCTGGGATATCTCAATGATGTCTGTAAACGTTATAAAAAGTATCACATCAACCTACAACTGTTTCATTATTGCCTGTATGAAAAAATTGACAACCTAGACAAGTTTTGGAGTCGTCGACTGCCATTTCACTACCAAGATAGTTTTTTTCTGCACAAAAGTCGTTCATTTTGATACCAAATTTAGCTCTTGACATAAACATAGGTATGTTGCTAGACACCACTTTTAGTACCTAGGAGCTAGAGTTGAACTTTAGCTCCGATAAACTAAAAAGGATGGACTAGGTCATCAAGAATAAACAACGGTTGTTTATTTGGGTTAGGACGCATACCTGATTTGTTTCCGATTTCGGCAGATTTGGCATTTCATACCCATGCTAGAGATATATATACACCATATTATTGTTAAGTATTTTTGTTTTGATCAGGAAAGCCTTCAAGACTCACATACTTGCTTGATCTGTATTTCATTCATTCTCGGGATCTGATTGATTGGATAACTTATTATTGAATTATCACGACCAGCAATACTTTTTTGTCTCACACAACGATATTGTTTATCTTCATTTGATTACCGAGTCAAACACAGTGGAATATGGAGAGAAATAAATGATCGCTAATATTATTGTTGATATGCTCACTAACCTTATATTTTCCACTTCTTTTTCCTATACCTGGCTCTGGCGCGGTTTTTGCTATTAGGCACCAATTACATTGCAGAATTATAAAATAATGTCAATTAGAAAAAAGTTAGATGATTGATTTCGTCGTTCATTGAAATATAGAAATATGGTCAGTGGAGTACTCCAAAAAAACTACATCAATGTTCATCGAAGAGAGTATGAAATATCTATCTTCCTGTATATTGGTTGAATTGGTATGACATGGTTTTCATGTTCATGAATTGCACTACGAATTTCAGAGTGGTACCTTTCAAGTATTTCGAAATATTCAGGAAAATCTGTAAATAAAAATATTCTTCATCGCCCTCTCACGGCTTAACAGTGCATTTTTGTAAAGAGGTAAGTTGATTTCAATCAGTCTAACTAGGTGTCTAGTTCACCCTGTAGAATTTATGGTACGTTGTTCTGAGACACCTTGTATATTCGTTAGTGCGTCGCCCTAGAATAATAAGGTACTATCTGGACCAAATATAGTTGCTCAGAATCGTGCTGCGAACTTTTGACTCCATCTATTTCGTTCCATTTCAATGGATCAGATTTTTTGTTCTGATTAAGTTTATTTAGATGGGTTGAAGTTTTTATCATTTAATTTTTTCCTTCCTTCATTCTCAAATGAATGTTAATTCGAACATCTAAAATTTAGATAGAACTTTGTTCCACAAAGATTTTCTATTGTAGTAATTGAACAAGGTTCTAACTGACAAATATACAATAAAATACATCATTGTCTCATGAAATTTGAAATGTTTTAAGTGCCATCAGATTCACTTTTGAATCAATGTATATGTACAAGTAAAAGTGTATGGATAGTAATAATAGTAATATGTTGAAAAAAATTGCGGCACGTAGATTTTTTCAGAAGTATATTTCGAATTATCGAAATGGAGAAATACGAAATGAATGATTCAACAAAGATCTTTCAGGAATGCAGCGAAATAGTTTCTGGAACTTGGAAAAAACGAGTATTTTTGTATTGGAGTTTCTTGATATAACTCTCGAAATCTTTGAAATCGGTAACATTCAGCTACTAAGATGTAGTATGGCTCTTTATATTCACTGCTTTCAAGTTCTTGATGAAAAATGAAGGTGGAAAAAAATTAGTTTCAATTCATGTACTTCTCACTAGGACCATGATAATAGTTATTTATACACCAAGGTTAGTGAAGAATATCATTACTACCCAGGGACCAAGATTATATCCCGAGGCTTCAGCCGAGGGGTATAAGATGCTGTATTAATAATATTCTTCACTACCAAGGTTTATATTAATCACCACTAGCAATATATTTCAATCATTTCAGTTATGTGAAACCGAAATATAGACCCATTGTCACTATGACAGCACTTATTTTCAATACTTAGCCATGACCATGACAGCATATGACAAATCGTTATTGATAAATACCTATACTTGATTCGATTGCCATTCTTGCGAATATATGATCAGAACAGTGCATTCAGGTTAATTAAAGCAGAGTTGACTATGTCTTTATTGACTAGTGGTTCATAAAATGACGAAAACTAAGTTGGTAGTGAAAACACATTTTACGCCTCGAAAAGGAGTAAATAATGATGAGCTATTGGTGAAAAATAGTATATTATTCAACGAGCGCATAATGATGGCTATTACCCACGAAGATGAAAGTTGCAGTACGAGCCGAAGGCGAGTGCTGTAATCATCTGAGTGGGTAATAGTCATTATGCGCAAGTAGAATACTATACTTTATCTACAACTATTTAAATATCAAAGCAACTCTGAGAGTTCAGAAATATATCTCAGGAAAGAATGAAGGTTATCATATTGCAAAATCACTAAATCTGATTTGAAATACTTGATAATTCCATCGAAAACTTATTGACAAGAATTTCACTCAACGAACAGCTTATAACTTATTTCAATAATTCTGATTTTGAAAATAAACAATGTTGGATATAACTTTTATTAACAGGAAGAAAGTCGTGCAATCACATATCAGTCAATCTTACCAGGTATTATATGCAATTTCACTTTAAACCTGCTTTCGCTGTAGCGTTCCCCCACCGCGATGATTAATTGTAGTACCCTGTCCCTAGAAGCTAATTATCAACAATGAAATTCCATGGTTCTGATTGGTCTATTCGAATAGCCTGTAGCCATGTGAGCAAATCTGCAAGTGTCAAGTGTCAAGTCCTATTTTATGAGTATGGTTACTCATGATGGTAGTCACTGTTCAGGATGGAAAACAGTGAATTCTCATTTTCCGTGTATTTGTAGAATTAAGGTGATTAAAACTATGAGAACCATGTAAGGTCAGTCTTTTGAATTTGCGAACTAGTTGAACGAATATCTACCTAGTTGAATTTGACAAGACGATGGGATGTCAAATTATTACGCCACCCTACTGTCATTATTACTCTTATTACTAGATTCATCACAATAATGTATGTCATTAAATGTCGAAAATCGAGTAAGCAATGCATGAATGACTCGATAGTTGTAGATAAACTAAATTATATAGTTAGGATGTTGTTACATTGAATTAAGAGAGAAACGTTCTGTAGATAGAACTCTGACGAGGACTCTGCATTATGACTAGTTCATTGAAATTCCAACAGATTGCGATATTCGACGTTTCATGATGAAGAATTCATCAGATAGAAACTTCATATACCAAAATCTCAATTTTGGTAAAAAAGGCAGATAGATCCTTATTATTCTAGACCGACGAGTAGAGAAACAAAAAATTGAAAAATGGAGCGAATCACTATATTCTTACTTTTCAACTTGTCTAGATGGAAAGATTATGAAACATTTATAGTAAAAGCTCGGCGCTATAATAGCGAATAAGAATTCAACGGGCATCACGAAGAGTCTAGTTCGACAAAATGAATTATTCAGAATTAGTCCGTCGACCAACTTTGAACTACTACATTATTCAAGAAAAAATATCTAGATTTGCGAAGATGTCTGCGACGTAAACATAACTGTGACTATTTTTGGCTAGAATGTTAATAGTGCTTCACCTATTTCTAGCTAAAACTACATACAGTGCAATGTCTTCAGAAAATTTTTTTCATCTCTTGGAGCGCATGAAAGGAAATTCCTATAATGTTCGAAGGACATCGTGCATACCCAGGTACAGAGATTCATCAAGTCAAGTAGCTTGATATTTTAACAAACTACTTGACTTGACTTGAAAATCAAGCTCGTGGCAAATTACGTACTTGACTTGACTCGAATTTGAGATATTTATTACTTGACTTGAAATCAAGCTACTTGATAATACTTGATCTTGATACGCACGAGTCGCACGGCGTATATTTCTGCAAGCTCGCTCACGCTTAGACAAAATACGGGGGTTCCCCGAGATCCGAGCTGACTGAATCGATCGCGCAGTCAGTCTTACGATGCCATTTTCATTTCATCAGTTATATACAGGGTGACTCACGGTCGATGGTAGGTTAGACGTTCACGTTTATGATAGGAACGCAACGCAGGATTTTTCTGAAAATTTCGCATCTCACATTTCATCACCGGTACTATCGATCTAATATATTTTCAAAATCACGACGTTGCCGCTTCTATAGAAAAGTAGGAACCACTTTGTTATTTCGAATTGAACACCCTGTATTTTATTGCATTTTCAGATTCTCCTTGAAGAGTTGATTTCATCGATACATCACACTCGGGGTATAGCGGAAAAGATTATGGAGATATAGAGTGCGAAAAATCGAGATTTTTCAACTTCAGGAATTTTTTGTGTATGCGAAATTTTCAGAAAAATCCCGCGTCGCGTTCTCCATAAACGTCTAACCTATAACACCGACCGTGAGTCACGCTGTATAGATACACAATAAAACTGCTGAAAATCAAGTAGCTTGATAGAACTACTTGATTTTTCAAGTACTTGATAAATAATAACTTGACTTGACTTGACATTAAAAAACTTTCGCTTGACTTGAACTTGACTTGATTTCAAGTCAAGTCAAGTCAAGTAGCTTGAATATCAAGTCAAGCCGTGAATCTCTGCCCAGGTAGGATAGGAAGAGAATAAGGTGAGTATTGGATTATTTTTCAACTTTTTGAGGTTATAAATTCTTGGGATAACTTCCATTGGCAAAGTCTAAAGTATTCCAATATCTACCTCCTGTCCCTATCCTTCCTAGGAACGCACGATGTTCTTTGAACATCATAGGGATTCCCTTTCGTGCGCTCCAAGCGATAAAAAAAATTGTCGTTCTACAGACGAACGAGTGTTGGTAAAGT